AGCTTCGTTTACGTTGTAAGAAGGAACCTTAGTCTATTCCAACGGCTAACGTCACCAAATATAATATCATTTTGTGGCCATCTGGCGAAATCTTAGGACTACTACTTCTTTTGGTGATTAAAAAACAATTATAAAACTTCAAAGCTTTCAACCTTTGGAAACATTTAAGAGTTGCTCATGGATCACCACGTGTTTCATTTGCGACACAGAGGAGAATATATTCCTTGCTTTTCTCCTCTTTGTGACATTCACTTGTTGCATCTACGAGTTTAACGCAAGATCCAATTTGGCGGAGTGATAATGCTTATGTCAAGCGCAATGTATATTGATATATCACTTAACCTGCTTCCAATAATTTTAATTGTATAGAAGCTATCAAATTGTGGTTTGTATAGTAAAAAATCAGTTGCCATTTGCTTTTATGAATGTCTTGATGCTGATCCTACAGGTCTTTCGATCAATGCTGCTATTGATGTATGATCTATAGAATAAGTGCACTGAAACACTCACATAAGCTGCTTATTTTCTTGTCTTGTTGATCAAGGTTGCTATCAATGATATAGGAGACAACGCCAATGACATGACCCTTGACATGTATGAATCTATTGCTGCAGGCTGCAGACAATTGAGACTGGGATAGGAGATTTATAGGTGCCACATTTGGAACCAGGATCTGCTGACCGGTTTGGTCAATATCACATAGTAGCCTCAGTGCAGGTTAATCACGTCCAGGCCCGGCCCAATATCGGGACATCTGGGCTTAACACTCACTTACTTGATCTGAATGGAGTTTTGTCTATTCCAGTCTTTCTTAAATGGCAACGCGCTAGTGGCATTTGGTTCAGACTGGCCGTTACGTTTCAGATAATGTTCAATCTACAATATGTAGACACTGAAAGTTTTCATGTTTTCAACATAAGTCTTCAAGCTTACTTCGTTCATCTTTGATCCACGTGGCAGATATTAACCTGTTGCACAGCATCAGAACCGCAGTTAACGAATACCTCCCAAGCGGAACCACGCTTGGAAAGACGAATGTTTCTTTATGTTTGGTTCAGGGTTTACATATAGTCAGAAATATAAAACACTTAACTGTAAAATGGATGGTTAATTTAATTAGGTGAACCGTTCCTTAGTCTCTTAAATTCACACTGGACCATTGAACATTAAACGGTGTGACAGTGATAATGAATGTTATCCAAATGATAAACGTAAATTGGTTGATCTGATATGATAATAAGTCTTTGATCTCATCGAGACACTAAGCAAAAATTAATGTAAACGGTTTAAGAAAATGGTTCTGTCATGTCGTATCTAACTTTGTAATGCAAAATACGTAATGAATTACACAAATTTAAAAAGAAAAACTGTTGGTGTCGGCTAATAAAGCAAAAAAAAGGTTGTTTGGTGAGACAAGAGCAGCTTAAAAGAGACAACAACATTTGCAAAAAGGTTGCTTGTAGTGAGGGGCCCACGCACGAGTCAGACGCGGCAGAAGAAAGCCAATCAGATGTGAAGCTAGCTGTTATTAGCTATGTAGCTATCTGGTTCCAGCCGTCAACTCGGTTTGGTTCCACCACGTGGCACTTACTCGTACTGAGCAGAGCCCCCACGTGTTGGCATGGTCACGCGCGAGATCACCTGATTGGTCGGCTTTAATACGCATGGATTCCTATTTTTTTCTTTTTTGAAATAACATGGATTCCTAATTGAGTCATAACTTTTGGCCACGTATAAACTTGATGATTCTTTTTTTTTTTTCCACGCGAGCTAAAGGAACCTATGGTCTCAAATTATTAATTCGAATCAAGATTCATCTTTAGGAAATCAAAGATTAGACAAGTTTTAAATTTCTTTTATAATACTCCTTCCATTTCATTTTAATTGTCATTCTAGGTTTTTACATACAGATTAATAAAACATTTAATTTTACATATTTTCATGATAAAAACACAATTACCTATACACCTAACCACTTTTCAACCAATAGAAAAATAGAATATCATATAAAACTAATAAATTTTACCTCGAAACTCTAAAACGACACTTATTTTGAAACAAATTTTTTTTTCTATAATGATAATTATTTTGAAACGGAGGGAGTATAATCATAGCCTAGGAACATGAGCACGCAATCCTAAGCACTCTTCAGCAGTATAACTTGAAACATTTTTTTTTGATAAATAACTTCAAACAGTTTTAGTCTGTGACATTTTTAGGTCAACAAAATCCTAAGCACTCTTCAGCAGTATAACTTGAAACATTTTTTTTTTGATAAATAACTTCAAACAGTTTTAGTCTGTGACATTTTTAGGTCAACAAAATCCACGTATTATCAAAACATGATAATAGAAAGAGTCCACGTCATGAGAGGAATGTGCGACATCATGTTATGTCATATGTGTGTGTGTTGATCACGTGTATAAAACCGTGAACAGTTGAACTGCATGTCGACTATACAATACTATAAATCTTTAGTAATTACTAGCACATATTGTCTCGGTGACAGGTGGCTGGTTATTCCAGTTGATAATCTCCAACTTCGATATTGGGTATTGAATGGAATACGTTCGCATTCATATCCTATCAAACCGATGTCGATGACTTATCTTTGGTGTTCATAACAGCTAAGCAGTATTAATGATTTCCTTTCCCTATTTAATTTGTTCTCTCTTCACCTATATCCTTCTAATTAATCACTGATTTATAGCGCTACATATTTTCTACAAAAAAAAAGAATTTATTAGATGAACTTTTTTTTGATAAAAATAAAAATAAAATAAAAGTTCTGTGGATGAGTGTGGGAATTCCTTTTTTTTTTTATCTTTCAAAATTTAAAACTTTGGAATCCAAGCTATACACGATTTAATATTCTGCTAGTGTTATGACTAATTATGAAATTATAGGGTGATTAGGAATATTATGTGTTTGTATATAAAACTAAACCTATAAACTACTTTCACTGTTGACATAAACATAAGATTACTTTATGTCATTAGTTTGACTAAGAAAATAATAATTACTGTCAATAATTTTCTTTACTGTAGTATTCTAAGTGCCTTCAAAGTATGATTATAAACTTTTCGTTTGCCTTTACATTCCTTAAAATCCAGCCAGTTACTAAGTTACACATTCTCTTATTTACAAACATTATAGTTGAGATCTAACTTCAAAATTAGGTGTCAACTTTTGAACCATTATAACCACTTCAAACTACAATGAAGGTTTATTGCGTCGATCATACTCTTTGCTTTTTTTCCAGAGTCAACTATATATTAATGTATCCATACCAAATGTTTGATCCTTGTAGTATGTTATACAATTTGGAAGCAAAAAATTATTAAAACCAAAAAATTTATATATTTCAAAGTAGTTAGTATAGACCAGTTTGTTAGCGATAACTAAAGCTAGAAGAAACACGTGATAAAGTTTAGTTGTATTCATTTCTGAAAAGTAATTTATTAAAAACTAGGACTACAAATCTGGTTAGCTGCATAACATTTCAAGAATCGGTCCTTTTTTAAGTAGATACGATAAGCACAAATAACTTTCAAAGATCGAGCGTTGATATTAATGTTTTTAATAGCCAAATCAATGTATTATTTTCCTTTTAAGTAGTAAATAACTATGACACCGACAAAATAAAAAGATTTATAATTGGAACGTTACATTCGGAATGTTGAACTTTTACACAAACGGGGAATAAGAAACAGGCAAAAGGGAGACTAAAATCATTAGGACCCGTTCCACTCTTTTTCCCAAAGTCCTTAAACGCCATCGAAAGGGATTCCGACCAAACCTCATGTGTCCTACTTTTTTTCTTTTACTTGATTTTTCAATTTCTTTACGCTAGGACCTTGTCATATAAAAGTCACACCTCCTTAGATCTTATGATCTTATCCATTGTCCTAAAATAATAACCATAAAACCAAACTAGATCATAACCCGCCCTACTGGGCGGGTCTTTGTTTTTATGGTATATATAACATTTAAAAATTACAATTTAATGGTTCCAATTTTACTAAGTAATAGTCTACTGTTTAAACATTGTATTTTATCACTGTATTGTATAACATGGGCGCTGTAAAATATTGTGACCCGTAAACATTTTAGTAATAGTTTATAAAGTTTTTTTTTGGCTAAATTTGGTGCAAATTTATATACACTAAATAATTTAGTCAAAATTTTAAGTTAATTTTTAATAAAGAATTGGAAGGCTAGTATATCACTGTTAAAAAATTATAACAGTAGTCAATATAAATTATATAAATAAAATTTATATAAATAAAATTTATATTATTCTTGATTTGTTCTAAATACATTTAAAACATGAATACATATATGTATAAATAATTTTCAAAAGTAAAGTAATATCAATGATAGAAAACCCAAAAACAATAATAATAGTACATTGAGCCACAATAATCTTTAATTTAATAAATAAACCCATTAGATTTGTAGGCTATCCTTATTTCCAATCATCATAATTTTAAATATTTCCTATTCATGTTTCCAAACACATAAATTTTTGTACTTCAGCTTTAATAGTATAGATTAATTTTTTAGCTTTGATATTTTTCTTATTTAGTTTTTGAATAACTCTTGGTCAATAAATAAATCTAAACATCTCTTACAACGAAATAAAAACTATCTAATTTAACTTTTATTTTTTGGAAAGTAAATCATCACTTTCACCAAAGTTTGAATATGTGTTATCTATTATTTTTGAATTACTTTTTTTTTGTTGATTATAGTCTTTCATATGTGTAGTTATTTACAAGATTTTATCTATAGATCATGCCGAATCAATGTCGACCATATCCTTCTACAAATGAAGTTTTCAAATGAGGAAAGAACATTTCTATATGAAGAAAGATTTTGAATAAATCCCTAAAAGTAAGGATAAGTACCGTCTAACAAAATGTATACATACACTATCGAAAGTTTCAATTAAATCCCCAAAACAATGAAATAAAAAAGAACAATAATAAGAGAAACAGCCGTTGTTGTACGTTGACTTTCAAAATCTTTGTCTTTGTCAAATTTTTTCCACATAATGACGTGTTTTTCTTTTTCCTATCTGTTTCCCTCTCACATGGTCTCATAATAATATCTATATATACAATGCATAATCGTCTCATTACTAATATATATATTCATCAAAAAAAAAACAACTCGTTAGTTGCAAGAAGATGGCTGATTTGGATTTGGAGAGGAAGATGGTATCTCCCAAGAACCTCCACGTCACCATCCCGGAGCCTTTTGACCTCTCCGTCTCCTCTAACACCTCCTCCTCCTCCGCCGCCTACGAACTCTACCTCCGTTTGCCGCAACTCAAAACCCTCTGGTCCTCTCTTGACTTCCCTCAATGGCTCTCCGAGCCACTTCTCAAACCATCTCTCCAGGCTCTTGAGATCACTTTCCGTTTAATCTTGACCGTTGCTTCCGACACACGTCCGTACATAAACCGCCGCGAGTGGACACGACGGTTGGACTCTCTCGTCACAAGCCAGATAAAGATCGTCGCGTCACTCTGCGAGGAAGACGATGAAGAACAAGTACCGGTTACCAATGTCTGGAGCTCGACGAGCTTGCTGTCGGAGATCGCCACGTGTCAGACAACGGATAGCATTGGTCGGAAGATCTTGTCTACGGTCGAGAACGAAATGCGTTGGTGCAGATACACACTCGGTTTAGGTGAACCGAACCTTGCAGATAAACCGTATCTCCAATACGACGCCGTTTGCCGCCCGGAAGAGCTACAAAATCTCAAGAACAACCCTTACGCTGATCATATAGAGAATCAAGAAAACCAAACGCTCTACACTATTCACCAGGTTCTTGAATCTTGGATTCACGTCTCACTGAATCTCCTAAACCGAATCGAATCAAGAATCGACGAGGGGAAGTTCGAAAAGGCTTCTTCCGACGTGTACTTGCTAGAGAATATATGGAAGCTTCTGGCTGAGATAGAGGATCTACACATTCTGATGGATCCTGAAGACTTCTTGAAAGTCAAGAAACAGTTAAAGATCAAGTCTACATCACAAAACGACGCGTTTTGCTTCAGGTCAAAGGGACTAGTTGAAATGGCCAAGATGTCCAAAGAGCTCAGACACAAAGTGCCAGCTGTACTCGGCGTCGAGGTGGACCCCACCGGTGGTCCGAGGTTGCAAGAAGCGGCGATGAGGCTTTACTCGAGGAAGGCTGAGTACGAGAAGATACATTTGCTTCAGGGGATGCAAGCGGTTGAGTCAGCCGCCAAGAGATTCTTCTTCGGGTACCAGAAGATGGCGGCGGCGATGATGGGAAGCGCGGAGGCTAACGCTAACAGAACGGCGGCGAGTCATCATCACGAGTCGTGTGACTCGTTGACTCAGGTGTTTATGGAGCCAACGTATTACCCGAGCCTAGACGCTGCAAAGACTTTCATAGGAGAGTTCTGGAGCAATTTGGTTTCTCGACACTAACACAACACTATCCATTTATATTGTAACACTAAGTGAAATTTTTTGAAACATGTGACGATCAGTGTATGAATATATATAACTCATTTTTAGCATGAAAACGATTTTTTTTTTTTCTCACAGTAATGTTACAAAAGTTACAATAGGGTACATAATCATACACGGCTACAACGTGAAGATCAGTAGTAGAAAAAAGTGGAAGAGAAAGAGGAAATGAACCAGCATGTGAAAGCAGGCAATGATCACCAGAACCATAAGCTGCGACTATCAACGGCTTTCATGGAAGTGTATACAAGTGGCATTCTTCCGAACTCTGCTACAAACCGGTTTACGCAGTGTGTTCTTTTCTCTGTGTGCCCTCCTATGCTACTGATTCCTGTTGAACCTATTTCATATATCTTACCTACAAGAAACATGCCAAATATACTCTTCATGATCAGAGGTTATCAAGAATCAGATAACCTCAGAGTAGTTGAAGATTTTACCTTTAACCCATATAGGAGGAGTGTTTGTAGCATTTGCGATGAGGAATGACATTGCAATATCTTCACAGTTCCTGTAATCAGATGAAATTCATGCTAAGTTAGTGTGTTTTAATCACATAACCAGAGATACAAAGAACACAAGAGAGAGAACTAAACCTGTTCTTGGTTGTGAATTCTCTGATAGATGCAGGCATGTTGTTCGTGTAAAGGCTTAGGTACTTTTTGTGGAAGAAGGCTGCCTTTGAGAGTACCATGCTATATGTACCACTCCACCAAACAGACCACCATCCACTGTAGGTGTAGTAATCAGCTTTACCATTCTGCAGATATTGAAGTAAACTTACTTATTCAAGGTATAACACTATGTTGTCTTATACAATGAAAGAAAGTTCCAAACAGAGCTCTTAAATAGCAAAAACTTAAAAGAGAATGTTTTTTTTTTTACTATTTTGGTACTGTTGTTTGATATATAGGCTCTAAGTGGTAACATCTCTACCTGCATCGCAGTTAATAGTAACAAAATTTCTATATCTATACGTTTTTGTTACTATTAGAACCGCACCGCAGTTACCATTTAGAGCCATAAGTTTCTTAAAAAAGGGACCATACCGATTGTTCAGGCCAATGCACACGAGGCACGAACCCAACCATAGTCTCTTGCGCACTCTCCCAAACATTGAAAGCAAAATCCACCGTATGACAAGGGAATATAATATCATCATCAATCGAAAACACAGCGTCTGTTTTCAAATCTTTAATCTCTTTAAACCTATTGTTCAAACTATCTTCCTTGTTCACATCAAATCTAAGCTCAACTTCATGCCCATCTCTAGCTCTCTTCTTCACAACCTTCTCAAGATACTTCTTAAGAGACTCTGAAGGAGGGTTAGGTTCACTCCACACAATGTGAATAGAGTCAAGCCTAGAACATGACGCATAGTGGGACACAGACTTCTTTAACAGATCGTATCTCTTCCATGTGTTCATCAACAGTGTGTAGCCTTTCCTGAAGAGGTTTTGAGACAAAAAGGGTTAAAATATTACTTTCCTGATTAAGGAATCTCCCATGGAACACTATTTTCTGTTCTATATTTTACTCTAAAATAGTCTCTAAAGGAACTCTATTTTCCGTTCTATATTTTAATCTAAAATAATAGATTAATTGAATTTGCTCTAATGATTTATTCGAGAACGATGACATTTTTTACTACTCCCTCTATTTTTAAATAAGTGTCATTCTAGATTTCTGCACAGGGATTAAAGATATAGTTAATTTTGTAAATTTTTTATATAAAAACACAATTAACCATATTTCAACCAATAGAAAAATACTCCCTCTGTTTCATAATAAGTGTCATTTTAGACTTCGGCACACGAATTAAGAAAACAATTAATTTTGTATATTTCCTATATAAAAACACAATTACCTATACACCTAACCATATTTTAACCAATAGAAAAATTGATTATAGAATAAAGTTAATAAATTTTGCATTGAAAACCGAAAATGACACTTATTTAGTAACGAAAATTTCTCTCTACAATGACACTTATAATGAAACGGAGGGAGTAAATTACAGAATTAAGGTAATAAATTTTGCATTGAAAATCGAAAACGACACTGAAACTAATTTTTTTTTTTGAACAAGTAAAAAAATAACATTTCTAGAGTAAATAGTGTTTCATTGGAGATGGTCAAACAAGAATCCAAGGGTTACTATTTATAGATCTAAACCTAAATCAGTAAGATTTGGCGGTTAGAGAAACCTTGATCTAGAGATCTGATCAGCGACGGCGATTGAAGAGTTGAAATAAGGACGAGAAGATCGGCAAGCGAGTGTGATCAACGCGAAGGCGATGCAGGCGAGTAAGAGGAACTTAGCGCTCCTCGCCGTAACGAACTTGCGTAGCTTGTGGTCTCCGCGGCGATACGCTAACGAACAAGTTCCCATCTCTTTAGAAACGTCTCCTCCTCCCATCTGAAAAAAAAGAATAACGGTTTTATCAGAAGAAGAAGCTAAATAAGAAGAGGAAGATTTGAGGTCAAACCGTGTTGAAGAGCGAGACGACTCAGACTCAGACGAAGTTTTGTTGTTTCTCTTTGCTTTTTTCAAAGTCATTATCGAAGATCAGAGACGACGGAGTTATCTGATGCGGAAAGGCGCACGGTAAAGGAGAACTTTACAGACACGTGTCAGGATGTTAAGGTTTCAGGTTAGCTTCATTAACCACGATATCGACGTTACCGATAGCGTCGCAAACTGTCTTTGTTATATAATGTCTGGAAAGGTTGGACAGTTTAAAATTTATTTTGCTAGTTTTTTTCCTTAAATAACAATAAAGTTCACTTTAATAAATGTTTTCAAAATAAAATACTATTATTTATTTTACATACGGAATAGTGTTAATTGTTTTTAAAAAATATTCCTTCATTTTCATATTAAATATCATTGTAAATAATTTTTTAATTTTTTTTTGATTTTCAATATAAAATTTATTAATTTTATATTGTAAATTAATTTTCTATTAGTTGAAATATGGTTAGATGTATAAGTAATTGTGTTTTTATACAAAATATAAAAAATTAATTATTTGCTTAATCCATGTGTACAAAGCTAAAATGATAATTAATATAAAATAGAGGAAGTATATAAAGAGGAAATAGTAAATTTTAGTCTACAAAGATTGTTGAATATATTCTAAAACTATAATAAAAATACAAAAAAAAAAGAACTGGTGCTAAATGAATTAATTGGTTGTGGAAAAAGACATGTTATGGGAATCCAAGACTTAATTTGAAAACTACTAGGACATTGAAATTATCAAGACATTCTAGAATTGACAGAAACAAAAAAAAAATTGACCAAAATATTCAAGAAATTCTAGAAGAAAACTATAATCTACCAAATGTGAAACTACATTATGTAATATTAATCTCCTCAAATTTTATTCGAAATGAATTCGTTAAATTACCAATCCAAGTAAGTTAAATATGCACTTAACTAGTGTATTTTATTGGCTCTTCGAGCTGGTCACAACGATTTTTTTTTTTTTTGTGAATGAATGGTTACATAGATTTAAACGTCTCTCTATTGTCAATACAAGTTGTTTTTGCAGATCATAATAGGTTTAAAGTTTAAAGAATTACTGTATCCTTTCCTATTTTAACAACAAAATCACAAATGTCTTGCTCTTCTACTTCTCTATGTCTCAGAAGAAGAATCAAAGGACTGTGCAAAATCAGAATCCATAATCACACCATCCATAATATGAACAATCACCTTCCCTCTCTTTAACCCCATCTTCTCCGTCTCCACACCATTCACCACAAGCCCTCTCCCATTCCCACTCTTCCTCCAAATCTTCAACGTAAAACCAATCAACGACTCATACGACGCCGTTTTATCTTTATTTATGTCTCCCTCCTCTATTTTATACGGAACCACAGCGAATCCCAAGATCCTCGAAACGACAGCGTATGTGTTCTCTTCCTCCTCAAGTGATGACTTTGTGCTGTTCGGTTTCGTCATCCCCAGATCTCGACTGAACGCTTTCTCCGACGGAACAAAGGCAGTGAAAACAAGATCTTCAGGGAGCATTTCGACCATCATGTTCCCGAAGAATCCAAGCTCCTCGGAGAGATCGGCGGCTCTGAGTTTCCCGGCGGTGATCGGAGGTAATCGAAGTAAAGAGAAGGTGAGGATAGTTAAGGAAGAAGTTGTGATGAGGAGGAATAGGAAGAAGACTGGATTCTTCTTGGTGAGAAGTCTCCTCATCGTTTTTTCGTCTACTTTTGTTTTGTGACTGATCTCATTGGTTTGAAGAAGCTCTCTTTGTGTTTGGAGGTTGAAGAAGAAGGAAGGAAGGTCAATGAGGAGTTTTGTAATTTTTAAATGTTAATTTGGATTTAAATGGGCTTTTTGGAATTTTGGCCCAACTCATATTTTTATTTGACTTGAATCCTACTATGTATTAATTGAGAAGTCACTTTAATTATTTTTACTTATGTGTCACTCATATAGTCATATGTGAAGTTTAAAATTAATTATTTTAATTTGATTGGTTGATAGTATTTCAATTTTGATTTATTTAATTATTTTTTTAAAAGGAAATTAATTCTAGAATTACCATATCTAATATATGTTACCAAACAATTAAACAATTTTAATATAGATGACTTAACATAATTTATTTATATAACACTTAAATATCATAGATTACATTATATAATTTATAATACACATATAAATACATATGATACTACAAAAAAATTCTATAAATTCTTTGAAATATATGTATATTCGTAGTGGATACAACAGATAATAGATATCAAAAAATTAATTAATCTAAACCTTATAATATTTCAACTCACTATATATATATATATATATGTATGAAAAACTGTAAGGTATAAAATTTAATTTTTTTTTTATAATGTTCAATTAAAAAATGATATTATTGTTGAGGTATCACTTTTAAAAATGATTAAATCCTACTATATATTAATCATCCTACATATTAATTGAGAATTCATTTAATTGAGTTTTAATGATATGTCATTCATGTAAGAACTCTTCAATTAATTATTTTAATTTGATTAATTGATAGTTTTTTATTTTTTTTATTTACTTAATTCAGTTTCAAAAACTAAATCAATAGCTAACTTATATCAACACAACTAGAGAGAGGGTTAGAGAGAGAAAGTAGATCTACATCTGAGTTTCCGGCCGACGGGTGGGCTTCCATAGCCACCGTCGGTCCGGTTTACTTTTCTATTATCTTTTTCATATGTTGTCTTCTTGCATATTGAGGTGGGGTTTACGGTGTCCCTCGGTTTGGGGTTTTGATTGGTTTTCTTGGTTCCGGGAGGTGGAGGCTACTTCAGATCCGCCGACGCTGGCTTGTGATTCCGGAGGTGGAGGCTCCTTATGCTCTACTCTGCCGGCTTTTGTTGACGGTGGCTATGTCGTCTTGTATCTTTTGAAGGTGAAGTTGCTTAGTCCTTTGAAACTTGGGATTTTCGACTGTGAAATTTTCAGTGGTTAGATTCGGTGGGTGACTGTAGCGGATGAGATCTCTCGTCAATGGACGATTGAAGCTCTCCGATGGATGGTGAGAAAAGCGGTGTGAAGCCTTATTTCCTTGTGTTTGTGGCGCTATGAGGTGGATGAGATCTCGAACTGTTCGATTGATGCTCTCCAATGTTTGGAACACAGGGGAAGAAGAGGATGATGAGTTTCCGGTGATGTTCCGGTGAAAGTTTGATGGTGATTCGGTGAGAGTCAGGATGCAGCGGCCGTGAGATGTGTTTACGCAAAACCCTAGACGCATGGAACAGATGGTGCCTTTACGTGGGCTGAGTTAATGGGTTTAAGGCCCAAAAATGTTTAAAATTTGTAATTTGAGTTGGGCTTCCTGTAGTTTTGGGTTGAAGTCTCTTGGTTTAAATGCTTTAGTTTGGTCCGTACGTTTCGGGCTTTATGTTTTTGTAACTGGGTTTGGTTTGGGCTTTGACCTATTAATAATATTTTAGATGGAAAAAAAAAAAAGCTAACTTATATCAATAACCAAACAAATCACATTTAACATAAATAATAATCACACATATATATTTAAGGAAATTGTGTTATCAATGCTCAGATTTGTGTCATAAATTATTTGGTGCATTTAAGAAACTTAAACATTTTAAATGATTTCTTAGGAAAAAGAGATTGTAAAAGTTTACTTGTATGTTATATATTATTAACTACTGATTATATTTTATTTTTTAAACATGTATATATACTTTAATTTGAAAGTAAATTTTAAACTAATTTTATATTAAATATAATACTTTCTCATCAACAAATCTTGAAAAGCCATATCGATTGTAAAAAAATAAAAATAAACGTATTTAAAATAATTTGTTTAAGAATTTTTTGTAAAAAACTTTATTTTTCATGTTATTTAGGTAATTAAAATTGAATAGCTTATATTTTTAGCTATTTGTGTATCTTATAGATAATAAACATATGAATAATAATTTAAACCTAACTTACAAGCCATATCAATTATGTATGTGTGGTGTGTATAACTGTTTTCATTTATCTGAATTACTTAATTGAAAGTTGTTCATCGGAATTGTTTGGTTATTTATAGCAATTATGTTTTTGTATTTTTTGTGTTAAATCATTCACATGGTACTTCTAAGTCATATAAGCCGATGAAATTATTTTGAAGTTTCAGCAATTATTATCATGTACATATAATCTTAAGAAAATATTATTTGTGATATCGTACATATATTATTTTTAGAAATATTATTAGATGTATAAACGTAATCTAATATTAGATTGAATGATATTCAGAGATCTTTATTATATGAGGAATTATTTAGGAAATGAAATTTGGAGCATATATTAATAATTTCTCAAATTTTTACTATAGTTTTTGATAAAATCTAATAAAATATTAAAAATTATATTTTAATTTTAAAAAGTCATAAAATAATGAAAATAATCATTATATATAAATTTACTTCTTTAGAATATATATATATATATATATATATGTATATATAACCAAAAAATCATATTAATTTTTAAAAATGAAATATTATATTGTCAAAATATAACAATATTCAGTTAGATTAGGTTTTAAGAACTATTTGTATCCACGAATTCACGGGTAACCACATAATCCTTATGTATATTTTAGAAGTCATTCAAGTGATTTATACTTATGTGTTTCTCAAAGAAGAGTTTTCAAATAAATTGTCTTAATTTGATTAGTAATTCTGGAACCAACTAATATCATTTTCCAAATGATCCAAATGATCCAAATAATATGAAACAAAATGATTTATAAAAAATAACTTTGGAAAATCTAGAGAGTATAACAAAAATAATTATAATCCAAAATCCATAAGATATAATAAAAGCATTTTCATATATAAAGAATTAAAATGAAAATTTGTTATTCATATAAATTTACACTTAACATTTTAGTTTCAAATAAAACTAACAGTTGATTTTGAATAATTAAAAATGTTTTTTAGTTTCATCAAAATATAGTATAATTTTTTTTATAAAGTATTTGTACCTGCAAAATTGCTGGCAACCACCTAGTTTTTATTAATTTGTAAGCATGTAATTCTTTGAAAAGAATTTCTTTAATAAAAGATACATATAAAGAAGACGAAAAGAAGAATATGTATGTGATATGTTAAGAAAAGTATGTTCAAGAATAAGTTCTCGTAAAATTAACTAATAATCATGGTTTTGACCACACATGTTTTACATGATTTCAAATAAATCATGAATATTTGAGTTGTCGTTATAAATTACCTTAATGATTTTGTAAATAATTAGATTGAAATGTGTTTACTTTCTATTAGTTTCAAATATTCAGTTGTTTTCGATATTTCTAAATACCCTAGCTAAATAGATAATAAGACATATATTATATTGACATCTTTGTAATTTTATTACAACCAGACTAAAATTTTTAGCAGTATCATAAAGAAATATAGCTGCGTGCAATATAATTTTGTAACTAATGTATATCTCCAAAAGCAAAATATAAATGTGGCATATTTTTTTCTTAACTAGTTTAAACAATGGCAATAGTTTTGTTGCTTCTCATATAACCCAATAGCAAAAGTACATACATTATCCGTTATATAGAAAAATAAAGTTTATGTTTTTTTTGGAAAAGAAAACATGCTTTCAGTTCATATTTAAAATGAGGTTCTAAGCAGTAACTCCAACGGGAACATTCTTGAGTCTTGATTTTCCGTAAAGGGTTTCTTCAAAACGGATGATCTCGTTCTTTGAACCATACGCAACTTGAGTTCTGTCGTCCAGGTTGACGATGGTCTTGTCAAGCACAGAGTTGTGTCCATCACTGCTGAACCCACCAGCATTCTCAATGAGCAGGCCTAGAGGAGCCACTTCGAACAATAGCCTCAACTTTGCCTTCGCCGTAGGAGAAGTCACATTTGTGAAAATTCCTTTCTCCTTCACTATAATCTGTATGCCATAAAAATGAAATGTTTAACTCAAGTTCTTCATTCATAAGTAGAATTCATGTAAAATCTGAGATGTAAGAGGCCATTAACATTTTTGTAATTTAATTCTAATAAACAAATTCTACAATTTGGATCCCATGCGGAAGTCAAGGAAAATGTTTCATCCGGCTGTGTCTAGAACAGGTCATTCATGTTTTAAGTGCCAAAAAGGAACAAACCTGGTTAACGTCAGGAACCATTCCTCCTGTGTATCTCAGTGTGTACTTCTCTTTCACGTAGTAATCAATCAGCTGATTTTCACATTGAATAAGAAAAACATTCAGAAATTTGTATATATTAGTGATTAGATTAAAACATAACAAAAGCAAGAACCTTGCTGTATTCAGAGTTGTCAAACGTGGCTCTCAAGTTTCCTGGTGAGAACATTTTCCCTTCATTGATCTCTGTTGTCTCCTTAACATGCTGCCATTTCCCTGAGAAACATTTTAACATTACTCTAAAGCTACAAAAGAGTAAATCATTTAAACTCTAGATTAGACACAAAAGCAGAGTAGTACCTTCATCAAGAAGCAAGAACTCATGAGTTCCTGGAAACCCTTTAACAGCCAAAACATAAGTGGTTCTTGGACCATAGATTCCCATGGCTGCAGCCACTTGATCTCCTCCCGTGACTCCGGTTAACTTATCACCAGGCCAAACCCCAAAGATCGTTCCCACAGTGAAATTTGTATCCACAATGCTCGAACCATCCAATGGATCAAACGCCACACTAAACCCACCTTCCACTGGACCACCCATGTCTTGAAGCTCAGGTACTTCTTCAGAGCAAGCGTACTTACACACGTGCGAGTATTGCAAAGCCTATAAAAAACCAAAACTCAAAAAAATCAAAAACCTAATGATTATGAAACTTGTGAAACAAGTTATTAAAAAAAACAAAACCTCAAAGAGAAGCTTATCAGCGAGCATATCAACAGCGAGTTGTTCATCACCAAAGGAGTTAACACAAGCTGTTCCACCACAAGAAGCTGTCCTAACTTTGAAAGCTATTGTCCTCAATGCTTCTCCCATACACATCAGCAAAGTTCTCAGGCCCTTGTCTGGTGTTGCTTGTGTCAAAAACTCTTCCTATACACACACACACACACTCAAAAGTAAGAAACATTTACTCAAAGATCTGAAAAAATATTTGAGTATTTTTGTTACCAAGCTTTGACCAATTTCACATTTGGTCACAGATGAAGCACCATTGCTCTTAGCCTTTGTGACTTTGAACTGTGATCTTGGTGCTACTCTGAGTGAATCTCCAAAGATTGAGCTAGACTTCAGACCCTGCTGATATAAAATATAAGTTCACACACAGACTACTCTGTACTCACACGTGTGCCGCGTGTGTGACAAGTCATATGTGTTCTAACCTTGAAGGTGGATGATGTGGAGAAGGAAGAAGGAGGAGAAACCAATGAAGAGGAACGTTGAGAAGAAACGCGTGGGAGGAGGATCCCATGTGAGTAGCACGTGACGCTAGTCTCCATTGCTAATGTTACTGGAGAGGTTGATTAAAGAAGAAGAAGAAGCAGAGAGCTCTATACAGAGGAGAATGGTGGAGACAAGAAACTAAAACTCAAGTTGTCTTGGGGAAGATAAAGGATGCTTAACGCTGAGAGTGACACGTGGCAGTATAGAAGATATGGTTTACGGTTCTGGTGATAGACGATTGGGGAATGAGAGTGAGTGAGGCAAAAAGATTCGTTTAGGCTTTGATTTGCCATCATTCATTATTGTGTGGTCGTGGCCCGTTTTATCGTTTTGAGATTATACCGTAAAGATCGGTTTAGTTCCAATTGCGCGCTAGATTTCGGTTCGGTTATATCCTTAACAGAGAAATTAAAAAAGCGGAGTTTATCAGAGCCAGGTTTCGATCCTGGGACCTGTGGGTTATGGGCCCACCACGCTTCCGCTGCGCCACTCTGATTTGTTGATAATACATATAAGTTTTAGTATATAAACATAAACGAAAGACAGATATGTTGAATGTTTAAGAAATGTTTGATGACCTTTATTATTGTAGACGACCTTTAAATATTTATTTTGTCTATCGTTTGAACTAAAGTGCATACGTTACGGAGTTGATCAGAATAAATTCAAAGACGACCGTAAAGAAGAAATTCAAGTAAGAGCATCATTATTGGAGAGTCCCATTTTTGAGTCCTTCGAAAAATTTATTTGTATGTATATATTATATAATATGTATATAATTACGGATTAAGGATTTTACGGAAACCCAAACCGAAAGTTCTTTAATTAAAAAACTTTCGGTTTGGGTTTCCATAAAATTCTTAATCCACAATTATATACGTATATATAATATATACATATAAATAAATTTTGTTAAAAATGGGATTCTCCAATAATGATGCTCTAAGGTTTGGTCCAATACTAAACACAAAACATTTAAATTAAAAATTTGGTATATAATCTGACCTTTCAAGACTTGACTGGGCTTGGCTTCTAAACAGACTAGATACACAAATATTTTAATGATAATGAACCGTCCAATTATAAGTCAACTCGTCCTGAACGGGATTGGTCTATGTTTTCTGGTCTATGTACTTTTATTCCATGATAATAACATTCATACAAATTCATTGTGTTTAGCTCTACCAAAATCAATCACAAAACATCACATTCAGCGTTTTGCATTTACAGCATTTGACCTTTTTCGTATATATATTAAGCCACCACAAACGTTTGCATATGTATGAGGCACCCTACATGCAATAGTATTAGCCTCTTAAGCTATTACATAATACAGAAGAAATACGATAGACAAGAGTACTACAAATTAAATATCAATGTTACTAAAACAGATAAGCATCATCTATATACAATATTTATTTTTTTTTTTTAAAAAAAAGCTCAACGATTTCATAACATTCTAACACATACCAACCAAATAGCCTAGTAAACCGATGAATAATAGGCTATTGAACAGACCATATTGCTTGAGGCAGTCACCGCTACTTTTACCGCTGGTACCAGTCCCTACGTTACTTCCACCACCACGACTTACACTGCCACCTCCACGACCTCCGCTGCTACCGCCTCCACCACCACGACCTCCTCCTCCACCCCCACCGCTTCTAAGCTCTCGCCTCCAAACCGAAAAATCTATCTCAGAAGACGCTTTATTTACGGTGATGGAACTATGTTTCAGATTGGCGAGTGAGGCAGAGTTCTCGGTGGTTGAACCAACAGTTTGGATATGGATATGAAATGCTAGTAGTAATAGTAACACCTGAGCCATTGGTTTATTTGATTTGCGCGTTGCCATTTTTTTTGTTGTTGTTTATCACAAGCTAAGAAGAACAAGATATGTTTTGCGTTAACTGTTTATAGACCCTCTATTTATATGAATTTTCTTCCGGTCAATGTCTCAATTTTTTTGACTTTTATTAATAGTATATTATTATTCAAGTAGGATAACATTCAAGAACTGTTCTGGTGAACTTTCTGAGAAAAAGACTTAAACACAATGTTCCTTGCAGACTGAATCGTTCAACGTTTGAATCGTTTTAAAAAAAATTGGGAAACAACACATCTCTCCCAGATGTAGACTTTGAAAGTTCTATTATACCAGCTGATTCTAAGTTTCGTTGAAAACATGATACATTTGTTTTTGTTTTTGTATTTAATGATATTCTATTTTCATATGTAGTATTGTTATCTTCGAACTTGTTTGGTAAGACGCAAACGGCACGCGTTTCGTGTCTTGACTATTAGCTCTAAGGGATGAAAAGTTTTTGATCAGCTCTCGCAAAGCTTAATAGCGTTGTAGCAATTTGGAATATTATTTGTCTTCTGGATCTGAATACAGTTACTGATCAGTTGGTTCTGTCTACTCCGTTTTATTCACAGATATTTTTAAGTTCTCCTACCAATTATAAGTTCTCCTACAAAATTCAGCTTCAGGGTCTGACTAATATTGGTTCTCTAAAGTTTGTCTCACATCTAAGTGTACCTAGACGGTTTATAACACCACTTTACAGTTGGTCATTTGAATTCACATATTCATCACATCGATTCATGAAAAGAACTAAACAAATATGATTTCTTTTAAAAATAAAAGTTGCAACTTTCCAAGTTCTGTCCTCTAGCAAACAAAACGAGCTGGAAGTTTCAAGTTTCAAAGCTTCTTTTTTGGTTGCATACCTAAAGTGGTGTGGCAACTAACTATCTATGAGATTCCAAATAACTATAGCAATGAATATTCACAATGAGGCAAAAGAGTTATACTGCATCTTAAATTCCATTGGTCCAAATGAGTAAAAACATTTGTTTTTCTAATTCTCTTAACAGTTCATAGAACAAAGACAATGTTTATTGGTGGAAGCAAAAGCGCAGAAACACACGTTTACCATTAATTTCTGTGTCTTTTTTTCTCAAAAAAAAAACACACGTTTACCATTCCAAGCTAAGAATACAAGAAGACATGGTTGCTCTGTCAAATGAATCTTGGTGTGCTGCAAACTTCACTTGATTTCATGCCCATATTTATCTGCCAATGATCAAATCTCAGGATTAGAAAAAAAACAACTACACACATAATTGCCTCAATACCAAACTGAAATCCCCTGACTAACTAATCCAAACACTCAAAATCTGCAAAAAGGTTTCATCTTTGACTTCAAACATTTTAATCACAAACCAAACAATAAGCCTCTAGTTTCTCCAAAACATAGCACTGACCTATCTGAACCTAAACACCAAAAAAGAAAAAGTACACTCACAATTGCCTCAATGCTTCCTATAGTTTCTATGACCCTGACAAACTAATCCAAACACTCTCTATAACCTAAAAAAGTTTCATCTTTATACATAATTCAACTTCAAACATTCTAATCACAAACCAAACAATCACCCTCTTAGTTTCAACAAAACATATAACACCAACCTATCTGAACCTAACCACCAAAACAAAGCATCAGAGATGTAGTATAGTACCAACTTCAAACATTTTCATCACAAACCAAACAATCAGCCACTAGTTTCTCCAAAACAGAGCACTAACCTATCTGAAACCCAAACACCCCAAAAAAAAGCATCAGAGATATAGTAAAGTTACCTCAACGTTTACATCAACAAACAAACCATCACCACCACCAAAAACTCCGCAAACCTCCTCCCATTCCCACCTCCACCACCACAACCAGAGAACTCAAAACCATACTTACTACTCAAATTCCGATGCAAAAGCCCCCAGTTCCTAACCCCTCTCTTCCCATCATCATCCCTCTCAACAAGCTCAAACACATAAACCTCAGCAACACCTTCCCTCCTCAACGGCGTCCCACCACCACTCCTCAAATGCCCCAACAAACCCTTCAAATACATCTCACTATACAACAACGTCGCATCAACCTCCCCCCCATCAATCCCTGAGCTAGGCCACCCCGTCTCCGCCACAACAACCGGAAGATTCTCGTGTCCCATCACAGCCATGGCACTAATCACCGCATCAACCATCATATCAAAAAGGTTCCTGTATCTCACCCCGGTGGTGAGATCGTCCCTGAAGTTAAACGGACCTTCCTCGAACAAAGCGAAACCTACCGGAATCGAGAAGCTCGACCGGTACATGTTGTAAGGGAAAAGATTAACCAAGAAAGAAGAGTTGGTTCTTTCAAGAAACTGCAAGATCGGGCGGATGATGACTTCTCCGTTAGGTTCTTGGAACTGAGCTGAAGACGGTGGGAAAGCTGTAGGGACGATGTTAAAGAACGAGAAGGTAGTCGAAACGGAGATCTTGTAGATACGTAAGTCAGCTAAGGAGAGGTGGACGTTCTGCATGGCGCGTAGGAGGAAAGGGGAGACGTCAGGGGAGTAGGAGACGACGTCGTTTCCGACGGATATGGTTGAGATTTTGGCGCGAGGGTAGAAGGGGAGGACGTGGCGGTAGCACCAGCGCATGGCGAGGGAGCGGTTGGAGGCGAGGAGGGGGACGAGGGGGTTGGGGACGGAGAGGAAGAGGGAGACGTTTGTGTAGGCGAAGGCGCGGATTAGGGTGGGGTTTGAGTCGAGGAGGCGGATGGAGGGGATGTTCATGGAGACGACTTTCGCGGCGAGTTTGTCCGGGGAGAGAGGGGAGGAGGTGGAGGTTGTGTAGGTGACTCCGATTGTTGTGGCGGTGGTTGAAGTGGCGGCGGAGGTTAGGAGGAGGAGGAGGAGGTAGAAAGCGACGGAGTTCATTTTCTTCTTCACTCGCTTAGTTTCTTGGGAGAGAGAGAGAAGATGAGAGGTTGAAGAAGAAGAAGTGAGAGAGAGAAGTGGCGGGAGGATTCTGTTAGAGGAGTTAGTTAGGGATTCAGTGTGGTGGGGTCTATATTTGATACTGTGGACTTTACTCGTTCCCTCGTAACAATCATCTTACGTTGACGGTCTTTTATGGTGTAGATGATTGACTAAAAGTCAGACGGTATAATCTGAAATTCTAAATGGTTCAGAGGCTTTCTACTTAAGCACAATAATGGATTATTTCATTTATTTAATCTCCAATATAATTTTTAAATTTTTTTCCCTCTAAAATAAAAATACTCTATAATAATAATAGAGGTAAGGTTTACTCAAATCTATTGTTTTTTTCAATTTTTTTTGCCTCTAAAATAAAAATACTCTAAAATAATAATAGAGGTAAGGTTTACTCTAATATAGTTTTTTTTCAGTTTTTTGTCTCTCAAATAAAAATACTCTAAAATAATAATAGAGGTAAGGTTTACTCCAATATATTATTCAATTTTTTGCCTCTAAAATAAAAATACTCTATAATAATAATAATAGAGGTAAGGTTTACTCTAATATATTTTTTTAATTTTTTTCCTCTAAAATAAAATACTTTAAAATAATAATAGAGGTAACGTTTACTCCAATATTTTTTTTTTCTGAAATAGTAATCTCTAGCTATAGAATAAAAAAAAAGTTGGTTAGTTTTTTAAAAAGGAAAAAATATCAATATCTATTTTAGAGTATTAAGTAGAAATGAATTGGAAGAAATTTACTTCTGAATGTTATTAACTTATTATAGAGACGAATGCTATTAGTGACAATCAAGATTGAAATTATACTGAAACTGATGTTTTCAGAAGGGAAAGACTCAGTTTTTTTTAATATAGATACCAAAGTCATGACAACAAACAAGAGAGATAATAATGGAAACAAAGAGATAGATTACACACACTCACACAAAGAAAGAAAACAAACTGAATCAGTTTGGCATTGAGTTTTCAATTTAGACTAGAGAGAAGAGGAGAGAGATAATTATTGAGTTTTTTTAAGATTCAGGAACGGCGGCTGCTGGTGTACCAGCAGCGACTGCAGCAGCTGCAGAGCGTTTGATGGAAGCAGATTTGATCAAGTGGTTGTAGCTTCCCTTCTCCTTGAAAAGCTGAGCGAAATGGTGCTTGCAGTAGAGGATTCCTTCAAGAGCTGCGTAGTTTGAAGGTGAGATTGGGCAGCCTCCATGTGAGCACTTGAAGCAGGACTTGTGATATGTCTGGCTCTCCACTGTTACCTGCAGTTTTGTGACCAAAAAGGTTTTCATATTAAGTCATGTTGTCAAATATTTCACCAAGAGAGAAGATTATAGTCTACTAAGGTGGCACTAAGGGAAACAAGTACATGTCATAGCTGTGAGAATCTGTGTTTTGAGTCTCTTTTTACAGCGCAAACTACAGCAACAAGAATCAATGTTTCTTCCAGGGTCTATGCATTGTTTGATAAACATTATGTTCCTTGCAATTTTCTAGTAATTAAGGGGATTTTAAAATTAATCTCAACATTAAAGAGAAAGCATTGGAGAATCATTGCAAAAGATTAAACTATGTTTTTACTGTAATGTATAACAACACACATAGAGGACATAAAGGTGATACTAAGGTTAAGTAAATGGAAAATGTAAAGAGGGAAGAGATGAAAGATTAACCTTTTCAATAGGATACACAGTTTTACTGCAAGTGGCGCATTTCTCTTGTGTGCCTGAGAACATACCAGCAACTCGGCTAGGGGTTCTTGTCTGGTAACAAGCGAAAAAAGTGACATAAGTGAAAAGTTCTATTTGAGCAAATGTTATCTAAAGAGCTTCTGTCAAAACCAGATAAAGAAGCATTTACCAGCTCAGGACTTGATTTCTCAGCTGGTTTAACAGCTGTGCAGAAAGAAAAAGTGCCAAAAGCAGATTATTAAGAATCCACAAGAAAGGTAAGCAAGAGGAAGAAGAAGAGTAGTATACACATACGTGACTGAAAGTTCTTGGTGAAACTACCAGACTCCTTGAAGAGCTGCTCATAATGAGGCTTACAGTACAACACACCTTCCATTGATGAATACCTACTCAACTGAATTTGAAACATTTCACTTTCTCAAATATTCATCAAACAGAGACACAAAGAATCATATTGTAAACTAAATCCTGCAGCCAAAAGCAACAAGCAACACAAGCATGAAAAAAGTGAACAAAACATTTACCTGAAGCCTGGATTTGCAGTGAGTGCATTTGAAGCAAGACTTGTGATAGCTAACACCATCAGCAGAGAGAAGCTCCACAGGGTAAACCGTCTTCTCACAAGCCTTACACTTCTGCTGAGTTCCTGTAAACGAAGACATCCTTCAAAGTCTCTCCCTTTACCTTTAAAAAAATCAAAACCCATAAAACAATGAGGTAAGATAATAAACCCATAGTAAAAAAAACTCTAAACCGTTGATCATTGAAACATAATTAAATCAAATTAGATCCTAAAACCTTGTATAAAGGATGGATCTTTTACCTCTCTATTGACCTAAGATCTGAACAAAACTGCAAAACATACACAAACAAGAAGATTGAGAGAAGGCAAAAGTCAAAGTTAGTAAAAGGAGAGAGCTTTTGTGTAAATCTTACGAGAAAGGAGGAATCTTTGTGACGACGATCAGAGCGATGAAGAGGAAATAGAGATCGGAGATTTGGGGGTGAAAAATCTCGTCTTTTTATGGATTTTTATTTGCTGGAGGAGGAGACAGTGGGGCTCCACTTATTGTCTTAATTATATCAATTAGAGAATGTAACAACAACAACAAATCTGTGTTCTTCTTTATCTTGTTACTGTATTTTTACCAAATAAAGTGATTAAATATCTGTTTATTCTCCTGGATTTACTATTATGTTTCAGTTTCTGAAATTCCAAAATTAGGTGAATGAAAACAAATTAGGCTAATGAAAACTACATTTGCTGTTTTTTCATCGTTTATTCACAATTAAAAATATCTAACACATCTGCAGATAAAAAAAAATATACATGTAACACATCTTTTTACTATCCACCAATATCTAACTAATTTGTTTTTCTTAAATAGAATTGTTAATTGAAAAGCTTTTTTTTTTTTTTGGGCAACATTGAAAACCTTTCTAATATCAATATATAAATATGCGACGGCATGTGGCCGTCTGTTGGAAAGCAAAGTTTTTTTATATTTTGTTTTCGACGAGTCATATAAACTTAAAATGGTTGAAAATAACTTCAAGAACCAGTCTAATTAAACTTATAGTAGAGAAGACAAATTGTGTACTCACTTAGATCTTTTTTTTTGTGCTCGAATTTCATCAAAAATGAAGTTTTACTTGGTCTAGAGGTGAACAAAACCGACATAAGTCTAGAACAAAAAGTGAATAAAAGATAAACTATAGCTTCTGAGAAATAACAAGGGGAGCTTTCTTCTGATACTTCTGAAATGAAACCCATGTCTTCAAACACCTTCCTGCATCATGATATCAAACTAAGATTAATGTTGAATCAGAGAACAGAGGAAACAAAATCATGGAATAATACATTACAGGGATGATTAATCTAATGGCAACTAAAATCTCAAACCTCTCACTAATCACATTTTATAAGGACAATATTAACAAAACAAAAAAAACAAAATGGCCAATCTAAACTGAGTTAAAGTGATAATGTATACCCAACTGTGATTAAGCTACAAAGATGGATGTATATTATTTTTACCTCATATGTTGCTAGGGTACATGAACACTCTCACTCTAGCTCCCTGAGAGTAACACAACAGCAAACAAATCATGAGTAACAGACTTCAACAATTTTTTTAAAAAAACACATTAACTAAGACATGTTCACAGGAAATGAAGTTTACCATAGACTTTGGTGGCAGGTTTGAAGTGAACTTAGCACGGACAATACCACTGTTACCATGAGGCCTAGCGACTTTTCCCCAGATGCAACGGTAATGAGAACCGTTCTTCTTTGTCTTCGCCTTGTAGATGTAAGCCATACGCTTTCCCTTGTACCATGTAACCTCCTCTGTAGTGTTCACACCTTCAATCTGGACGAGAGAAGTGTTGGGGTACTGGTTCGACTTCGACCTAAAAAATTCATTTACTAATCAGTAATCAAGCTACCAAAAAGGCGCAAACTTGAACATATGGGAGCAAATAGAATATGATAACACACATAAAGACATTATAATGAGCTTAGTAATGTAACTAACAAGAACACAAAACAGTAGAAGCAATGATCATGTCCCAAAGGAACTTAAAACACTACAATCTTCAACCATATAGGTGACATCAAGTTCTCAAAAACCTAAGAGGGGAATCAAAAAGTACCTCTTGTAACCAAGGACTGTTCCTGGAACATACAATCTGCAACAAACAGCAAACACACAGGTTTTGTCAGACGAATAACAAAGTGTTGATTACATAATAGAGATAAGTCTGTTCATGTCCGAAACGCTAATTACCTAACTCTCTCTCCTTGACGTCCCTTCATTTTTCACTCCTGATGCTGTGTCTTCGTCCTCTTTGCCTCCTCTTTTATGCCGGCGAGTGAATTACAGAGAAGAACCCTAGCTTTCGATTATTAGGTCAAATGTTATTTATATGTGGGATTGATATATAAGCGCCCTACTATGCTCTATTGGGCCCATGTTTGGGCTTTCTCATGTTGTTTGGCCCAAATAATAATAAAGCTTGGCCCAACAATGACTACTTTTACTGAAGCTAAGACCATGTCCAACGCTGAGTCCTTAGGGGTCCTTAGCGAGAGAACATATGCCCATGGACATAGAATATTATTAAAGCCCAAGAGTGATAGAAGGATTAATCCTTAACGAAGGATTGTAAGGATCAAGTCCTTAGTGAGCTGGCAATAAAGTTCAAGCGTCTTCTTCGTTGCCCTGAGAACCTCTTTTCTCTATCCTTCGTCTTTCAATGGCGTTTGCTCCAATTCTCCGCCGCTTCCGCCGCTAAGAACCTTTTTTCTCTATCGAGACTCTCCCTTGACTCTTCTCCCTCCGTTAGATCTCTGCAAATAGGAGCCTCCGGCGGCGATGATCGTCCTCTCCCTCCGCCTCTGTCTCTGCTTACCACCGCTGGGTATCACGTGAGCTCCGGTGGATACAAGCGTGGAGCTGTGTATCGCGAGCCAAATCAGCCTCTAACCATCAAAGAGTTTCACATTCCCCGACCCAATATGAGATTCTCATCAAAATCAAAGGTTAGATTACATATATAAATATCCTCATGATCTTAATTCAATTGCGGAATTAAAAAAAAAAGGTTTTAAATTTGTATTCTTTTGAATTCGTATGTGGCAGCTTGTGGAGTATGCCACTTTGATCTTTATGTGATGAAAGGAGAGATACCATTCTCTAGTCCTTGTGTTATTGGTCATGAGATTACTGGTGAAGTTGTTGAACATGGTCCACTTACTGATCACAAGATCATCAAAAGGTTCCTTTAAACATTTTAATTGGAATCATATTGTTCTTATTACAATCATGAATGTCTCAAATCTGTTGTTTCAGATTTCCAGTTGGTTCTCGTGTAGTTGGAGCTTTCATTATGCCGTGTGGAACCTGTTCTTATTGTGCCAAGGTGATGAAGAAAGAGTAGTGCTTTCATTGGTTTCTCAAATTTAAAGTTCTTAGCTGATACTTTTTTACTCGGACACAGGGCCATGATGATCTATGTGAAGACTTCTTTGCTTATAACAGAGCCAAATGAACTCTTTACGATGGTGAAACTCGTCTGTTTCTGCGCCATGATGGTAAAAAAAGAGAGTTTATTACGCTTTGGTGGCATGTTTGGGACGTGAGCACAATGGTCTTCACCTGTCTGGTCATAGCCGTGAACTTGCGGATCCTCTTGATGAGCAACTCGATCACCATATGGCATCAAATCACAGTTCTTGGAAGCATTTTAGCATGGCTCGTTTTTGCTTTGTGTACTGCGGAATCATGACTCCACGTGATAGAAATGTAAGGGTTCACATCTCCACTGGGTAATTACATCTTCTGATATCTCATTTTTTGTTTGCTTCTGCGTATGCAGAAGAATGTTTACTTTGTCATATATGTTCTTATGAGTACATTTTACTTCTACTTTGTCATATATGTTCGATGGTGGGTTCATGTTCGATGTGGTTAGCTGCAGGTGAGAATGTTAAATTTTGGTAGTCACTAATCAAAACAAAAACCAATGCTAAAGCATGTCTTTGTCTCAGTTGTTGCAGGGGTTTCGAGTATGGAGATCACTGGAAATCCATGCTTTACTACCAACCTCAAGCATAGGACATATGAGCTGGTAGAGAAAGGAGTTTAGATTTGGTTATTGTATCCTTTTTATGGCTTAAACAACAACTATACAATTTAATATTTTTTTCCCTAAGGACTCTAAAATGAAGTACACCATTGGACTAAATTTTTTGATTAGAATCCTTAACTCTTCAAACCAAAAAAAAAAAAAAAAAAAGTAGTTTAATAGTGCTTAAGGACTCCAATGGTAGTAACACCATTGGAGATGCTCTAACAAAACGAGTACACTGGTTTTCTGGTAGTTATAGAGAGAAGAGATATAAAAATCATTCAGATATTTTTTCAACTGGTGCATGATATAATATAATTGGATAGTTTTGTATATGAATAGTGTACTGTTGTACCAATCACTTATAAAAATTATATTATCGATAGCATACCGATAATGTACCTTAATGTTTTTATAGCATGTTGCTACTTATTTATCACTAATTTGGGAGAGTATGCATGCAACATTGCAAGAGCTAGCAGTTGATAAACCACACCCAAGCCTTAGAAAAAGATTAGGAACATGTTTTTGCGTTTGTACGAAGAAACTATAAGTAACAATAAATATAATTATGTTCTTGTGGTTATAATAAATTACAGCATAAACAAACGTTAGAAGACAACAATCAAACATCAGCAAAGACATGAAAGTTCTTGGAGTCAACGGAGATGAGTCTAACAGCAGCAATAGCAGCCGCAAGAGACATTAGCCCAAAGAAGCAAACATTAAGCCAATGCCATAGCTTTTGTACAGCACTAAGCTCACTGTTCATGGCTACAAGATACATGTGATTTGCTAATATAAACGTCAGAGGGAACGTGCTTATCGCTCCCGTGAGGCTCATGAAATCTCCAAGAAACGGTAAAAGCGCAGAGAGAAGAGTGCTCACAGCAATGTAGCTTCCTCTTGCTAGTGTTCTAAACAGCAGATTCTTCAACGTTAATGGACTTAATTCCTTTGGTTCCATATTTTGTATCCATAAACTCATAAGTTGGACTTGCGAAAATCTACAAAACAGCAAGAGACTTAATCATGTATTAATATGGTTTAGTCTTCCTAAACAGCACTAGGGCGTTCTTGAGTATAGCCAAGTGAATCATTGGTCAGAGATTTTGAGAACATGTGACTATATCTATGTAGGATTTTTTATAAACATTTAGGGGTTTTAAAAAAAATTTAGAGACCTAAATCTATAGAATTTTCTTCAAAAATTTTGAGAATGTGACAAATATTTCATTTAGGATGACTCAAGGTCGGCTATATACCATACAAATTTTAAAAATAATTTATTAGACATAGGTCGTTAAATTTGTAAGATTATTTTTTAAAACTCTTATTATATCATCTATCTTTTTTTAACTTAAAAGGATTAAACTCGGATCTATTAAAGATACAGACCTAACCTCCGGGTGGAGGTAAAGCCCACGGATAGACCCTCTCCTGGACATTCAAATGGGTCGAAAACAATAACCCATATCCGTGTGGCCAGTGGGGTTTGAACCCGGGTTCGCCTTATTGGATTTATTCCCTCAAGCGCCACTAGGCTACCATCACCGGTTTATTTTTTTGAAGAAGATAAACTTACGTGTGCAAAGAGATAACGGACTGAAGAAAAGCTGAGATGTTAGCGAGAGCTTTGACCCAGAGAGGTCCAGTGACATTGTTCATCAGATAGGTCGATGTGGAGGACCCGTAAGCCCAATAACCAATGAATGTAACGACATACAAAGGTAATGCACCAGCAGTGAACTGAAGATACAGAGCCTTCATCATGTTTTTAACCACTGGTTGCTTCACTGTGGCCTAAATCATTGCACAAGAGCCAGTGTCAAGAACATAGAAATGATTGCAGCATGAAAATAGATGAGACTAACCTGTATTTCAGGGAGCATTCCTGTGTTGAATGCGAAAACAAGACCGCTGCTGCTCCTGTTATGGTAAAAAATTTATCTACTGGTGATCCTTGTATGGTATAGTCTCTTGAAGGTTTATTTACTCCTACAAAATCAAGTTTATCAGTTGGTTTAAATGGGATCATTATGAAGTTTGTAAGTAATATCAAGAACGTTACCATCTTTAACTGATAGAACTATTGCAACAACAAAGTAGATCAAACTGAGGACTGTTGATATTCCCAACCAGATTCCAAGAGCTGATAAATGAGGGATACCAATTGCCAAAATCGCGCAGACAACACCCGCCATGGCTATAAAGTGTGGCAGTTTCATGACACTGTCATCTCTGAAAAGTACATAGATATCATGCACATAACGCAAGACAAGAACTATGAGGGGAAACTAACTTAACTTCTTTTGCAAGAAATAGGGTTGTTTTTGTTGTACCTTTAAGGCGGAACCGGCAAGGATGATGAAGCCACAGTTAATCATGAAAAGATTGACATATTGTAATCCCCATGTAACACGATACATCTTTTTACCTGATCAAACAAGAATTTACATCTATGTAAACAAAAAATAATAATTGCTCCTTATGTCAATGTGGGACTTGTAAGATCCACTGGCGGAGCTAGGAATATATTCTACCGGAGGCACAAATTATTTTATTAAAAAAATTATTTTATTAAAAATTTAATTAAAATCATGAAAGACATCATTTTCAAAAGAGAGCACCGCAAATATCATCGAAGACAGCAAGTTAAGACAAGAAGTCATCACAGTTGTTTAGTGTTTCAGTGTTTACGGCAGCTGAAGTATAGATATTACACTTGCCATGCATGCATCAGTGACATGTCACATATGCACGTAAAATGAACTGGCAAAGTTTCAGTTAATCTGACAAAGATGACAAATAAATAGGTAATAGATTCTGTTGATTTTTTTTTTCTTAACTATTCTCACGATAAAGTATACACTTCGGTATTCTAAAGACAAAAGAAGAAAAAAACTCGAGATCACTCGATAAACCACAAGTTGATTCAACATAACAACTCAAAAAGAGACAACAGAGGACAAAAAAAATTAATGAAAAGTTTAAAGAGAAAGAGATCCTAAAAGCATCTCCAATGTAATATTTTATTTTTTCTTCCAAAATGGAGTAAAAGTGAATAAGGAGTAGAATTGTTTTATCTCTACTTCATATCTCACTCCATAATGAAGTAATGAACAAATAAAAAATAGATTACTCCAGGAGTAAACTCTATTATAGAATGAAAAACGGAGTTAAATTAGAGTGTTTTTTACTTCATATTCTTTTTTAGAGTAAAAATTGGAGTTGGGTTGGAGATGCCTTACCGCTGCTAATCTGGTGAGCGGTGTCAGGGACTTCGAGATCGAATTGTTTCATTGCAACGACTTTATGGTTCTTTAGCTTCACTTGTACACAAGAATCAGTTAAGTCTTGTCTCTCTCTCTCTTCCTCCTAGGATTTCAAGAAATATATAAAAAGACAGCCTTTGTCGTAAATAAGCAAAGTTATTAACATAGAAAATGTGAAATGGAGAATGATCTTTTTGGTCAACTTTTAATTGATGGATCAGAAAGATTGATGCGTCTCTCTCAGGCTTCGAATGGTAAAAACAGATCAAGCGATGCAGATCAAGCGGTTCATGCAGATCAAGTAGGACAAGTGTAGATAAAGCAGGACAAGTGCAGATCAAGCGGATCAAGCAGGAGAGATGCAGATCAAACAATTTATCTTAAATTATGAATGACAAAATAAGTTCAAAACTATAGATCATATATTAAAAGAATAAAATTATACCAAATATCAATATAAATATTTAAATGTTGTAGGATCAGCCTAAATGTTTATTGGATTTTTCATAAGATGCTTGTAGCGTTTTAGTTGATCAAAATTATTTTTGAATAACAAACATCTTAATATTTAATTCTTTGTTAATATTTATATATAAAAATGGAGATAAAACATATTAAATAATCTATTATAAATTATAAATGAGAAAATATGTTCACATTATATATCATATATTAAAATAATAAAAATTACACCAAATATCAAAACAAAATATTTCAGATGTTGTATGTTCAG